TCCAGAACAACCAAGCTTAGGCAGTGAAGATAACCATCAAAACCAGAAAGCTAATGAAGATGTAATTGAATGAGGAGGCATGTTCCAACCCCAGTAAGCAGAACTTGGCAGCTTCAGCCATGTGGTTCTGGCTTCAGAACTGTGGAGCAGATTCAAAAGGTTTCAGAGGAGAAGAACATTAATATGTGGCCTAGAGATTGTTTTTGTGATGAAAAGAAGGGTTATGGAATATTCCTCAGCATCTAAGGAAAGCTACTGAGGTCAGGCATATGTCAGGGATATTCCTGAATGGAGGCCCAGAAAGACCACTATATGAAGCTGTGAAGGAAAAGCCTGGATTGCCTTGGAGATATGAAGACGGTAGAGATGCCAGAGTCATGGAATACCTGCCAAGGAAAGCTACTAATAGGAAGTGGAATCAGCCTAAGAGAAAGAAGTATGTTGAAGTCAACAAAGCTGAAAGGAGCTGGAGATGTGAAGAGCACTTTGACATCAGACATGAAGATGCAGAGTTTGGAGTTTTTCCTGCTGGTTTTAGGTCTTGTTTTGGTTCTGTATTTCTTTACTGTGCTCCCTTCCCTACATTTTAGAATGGTAATGTATAATCCTGTGCCATTCATTACATGGTGGAAGTATGTGATCTGTTTTTGTTTATTTATTTATTTATTTTTTATTTTATAAGGATTACAGTTAAGAGATTGCATGAATCTCAGAAAAGACTTTGAACTTAGACTTTAAAACATTGAGACTGTGATAGATGATGGGGACTTTGAGGTCTGTGGGAGCCCATTTTCAGGTTTCCTAGTAGCTTTATCCAGTAGGTCTGCATAAAGAGGATGACTGGACCATGGGCCTGAGTGCAGATATCTGAGATGGTCTGCATTTGGCTGTGCTGAGGGGAGATCTTTTGCTCCACTCCTTGGCATTTCTTTACATACCCTAGGGCAGAGACAGTCAGGGCCCATTGGAATAGGTTCCAGGCCCTCTCAAGGCTATCCTGAATTTTCTGTTTATCTCCACACTCTAAATCCTTCTATCTAATATTTCTTGCTGCTCTCACTCAAGAGCACTCTGGGAAAATGTGGAGGTGTTGGGTAGCCCCCCCTGCAGAAGTTGGACAAAATAAATTTTGTATTATGATATTCTAAAAGCTTATAGGGGCCAAGGGGTAAAAGGTGGTAGTTTGAATGTAATTGGTCCCAATAGCTATTGGGAGATGATGGCTTTCTGGGAGTAGGTGTGGCCTTTTTGGAGGAAGTGTGTCACTGTGGGGGTGGGCTTTGAGGTCTCATATATGCTTAAGCCATGCTCAGTATCTCAGTTCACTCCTGTTGCCCACTGATCAAGTGGTAGGACTTTCAGCTCCAGCACCATGTTTGCCTGCACTCCACCATGTCCTGCCATGATGATAATGTATTAAAATGCTGAAACTGTAAGCCACCCCAATTAAATGTTTTCCTTTATGAGAGTTGCCACTGTCATGGTATCTCTTCACAGCAATAGAAACCCTAACTAACACACTTTCATATCACTGCCTGTTTTCATTAGGATGTCTATTGCTTCATGATCAAAAAGCAAGTTGAGGAGAAGGGGTTTATTTGGCTTACACTTCTATATCACTGTTCATTAATGAAGGACGTCAGGACAGGAACTCAAACAGGACAAGAACTAGGAGGCAAGAGCTGATGCAGAGGCCATGGAGGGGTGCTGTTTACTGGCTTGCTTCCCATGGCTTGCTCAGCCTGCTTTCTTACAGAACCTAGGACCATCGGCCCGGAGATGACCCACCCACATTGGCTAGGCCCTCTTCTATTAATAACTAATTAAGAAAATGCCTTATAGCCAGATCTTATGGAGGCATATGTTTATATGTAAATTTATATGTAAATTTGACATAAGATTAGCCAGCACAACTGACCCCATGTCAACTTGATACACAAACACATCACTATTAAGGCACATCTTTCCTTTCTTATTCATCTTCAAGATCTCAAATTAAAATATAAACAACTTTAAAAGTCCCACAGTCTTAAAAACTTCAAATACATTAAAATTTCAATCTCTTTAAAATATCCAATCTCTCTAAAAATCCAGTATATCTTCTAAAAGTTCAAAGTCTTTCAAATGTGGGATCCTGCAAAAGTCAAAATTAAATTAAGTACCTTCTTCCAGAGGGAAGAACTAGGGCACAGTCATAATCTGAACCAAGCAAAACCAAACTCCAACAGTATAAACAACCCAATGTCCAATTATCTAGGATTCATTTATGATTCTGGGCTCCTCCAAAGAAGCTTGAGTCACTTCTCCAGCTCTGCCCTCTACAGCATACACAGACTGTCTTCTACTCTCCAGCTGGCTCCACTCCATTGCTGCTGTTGTTCTTGATGGTCATCACATGGCACTGACTTCTGGGATTTTCTGCTGCAACTGGGCTGCACTTTCACCAATAGCCTCTCAGGCTTTCTTCATGGTGCTACGCCTCAATTTCTTCGCATGACCCCTTCAGTCCTGGGCCTTCAACTGCACTGAGGCTGTACCTTCACCAATTGCCTTTCTGGGCCTCTCACAGTGCCAAGCCTCAGCTGCTCTCCATGACCCCTTCATGCCTTCAAAACCAATACCACCTAGGTGACTCTTACATGACTAAGTTTGGCTGTCACTTCTGGAACACAGCTTCTGAGTGCTGAATCTCATGAAATATTTCCCAGATTTCACCTCAATGATGCTGGTCTTTTTTCTTTCTTTCTTTCTTTTTTTTTTTTTTTTGGTTTTTTTGAGACAGGGTTTCTCTGTGTAGCTTTGTGCCTTTCCTGGAACTCGCTTTGGAGACCAGGCTGGCCTCGAACTCACAGAGATCCACCTGCCTCTGCCTCCCAAGTGCTGGGATTAAAGGCGTGCGCCGCCGCCGCTGCTGCTGCCGCCGCCGCCGCCGCCGCCGCCGCCGCCGCCGCCACCACCACCCGGCACTGGTCTTTTCTTAATCACCACTAATTTCTTAGCTCCAGCATCAATTGTCTCAGTAATGCAAAAGTTTCATTTGAACAATGCCAGTCTCTTGTTAATCACTGACTCTTCAGCTCCAGCTAACCAGAATGACAGAATCTTAATTCAAAGTAGCAAGCAGCCCTGATAGAGTCTTTAAACTTCACAAGCCTGGCCTCCATCTTCTGCACTGCTCCCAACATTCTTATCTTCTAAGCTCCTACAAAAAAAAAAAAAAAAAAAAATCCCCCTTAGCTCTCAACACTCAATAACTTTTCTAGCCCAAAGTTCCAAAGTCCTTCCACATTCCCCCTAAAACATGGTCAAGTCTATCACAGCAATACCCCCACTACACTGGAATCAACTTGTTTTAGTTAGGGTTTCTATTGCTGCAACAAAACTTCATGACCAAAAAAAAAAAAAAAAACAAAAACAAAAACAAAAAACAAGTTGGGGCAGGAAGCAGGAACTGTTGCACAGACCATGGAGGAGTGCTGCTTACTGGCTTGCTCTTCATGGCTTATTCAGCCTGCTTTCTTATAGAACCCAGAACCAACTACCCAGGGGTAGAACCACCCACAATGGGATGGGTCCTCCCTCATCAATCACTAATTTAAAAAATGCCCTACAGCTGGAACTTGTGGTGGCATTTTCTCCATTGGAGTTCCCTCCCTTAAATTACCTCTAGCTTGTGTTAACTCTTAGTCCCCAGTTGATAGCTGTTTGGGGAGAATTCAGAAGTGTGGCCTCGGTGGAAGAAGTATGTCACGGGGGGTCAGGCTGTAAGATTTCAAGATTTGTGCCATTTTGAGTTGGCTTTCTCTGCTTTCTATTTGTGGAGCACGATGTGAGCTCTCACCATGCTGCCGTGCTCACTGCCGACGGTGATGGACTCCCCCAGAACATACCTACTGCATCCCTTTGTTGTTTTTATGTCCATGTGTTCCAGGCCGACCATTTGGGATCCGGTAACCTACCAGAGAGCTCATCTCTGGAGAAACCTGATTCTCCCTCTCCCAGTAGTCATTGCCTGTCAGTCTGTCCACCAGCGTTTCTCAACATATGGGTTGCGACCACCAGTCGCATATCCGAGATTTACATTACAGTTATGAAGTAGTGATAAAATAATTTAACGGTGTGTGTGTGGGGGGGGGGATCACCATAACATGAGGAACTGTATTAAAGGGTGACAGCATTAAGAAGGCTGAGGACCAGTGGAGGCCTTTATTGTCTTTTATCCTGCTATTCCCACCAGCTTCCCAAGGTTGCTCCTACCAAGTCCTCATGTCTTTTTGTTTGTTTGTTTGTTTGTTTTGTTTTTAATAACTCACTGGAGAAACAAAATGACTGTATGAAAACATTCCCTACCTAAATTAACTAGTCAGTCCCTGACACTACTAGGTAACACTCTAACAGTGCGTTAATAGAATACAATAAAATAAGAATTCCGTCGCTGTTTTGAGTTTGCATGGGGCGTAAGTAAATGTACATATTATTATACTATGTATTTGAGCACGTTTCCCGACCTAAAATAAGTACCTCCTCAGCAACAGAACTCGGTGGTGAGATTACTGGCCTTTGAAAATGGAAGGACAGCTCGGTAAATGTAAGCAGAAGTCCTGCATGTAAATTAGACAGCCGAGGTTTCAGTAATGGCCATGGCAACGGGTAACAGGGCTTCTAGTCCATTAACCAAATCCAGTAGAAACTATTGCAGCAGCCGCCTTCCGAAGACACTTTATTCCTCCACTATTCTCTCGCGACAAGTCATCTTTGTCGGACTTTACCTATGCATGGAAATTTAACACTATCATCAGTCTTCCAAGTAAGGATCTATTCTCACGGTTCCTATTCCCAATTAGGACCTTGGGGCCGGGTCTCAGAACCCGGCGTTTGTGATTATAACGAAAGCTGATTCACCCCGGCTTCCGTAGAAGCGGTTTTCTAGGTAACAGGTCCTTCAGCTTCAGCCGAGAAAGTAAACGGGGGGGGGGGGGGGGGGGAGGTGTCTATTCGAATCCCCGAGGTATATTGTCTGAAGCGCAAAGCAAATATATTCAGACACGCTTTAGGCATTTTTTTTTCCTCCAAAGAAATTGGCAAAGAGAATGTGGAACTCACTCTCCTTTCGCATTCCTTAAGCCTGCACACCACGCCCGTTGTGCTCGCCGCTTCGCCGGAACCTTTCAGACAGGCAGGTCCTGGCCACCCCGAGGGGGGGTCCTCATTTTGAAAACAGGAGCGGACCAATCAGATGCGCAGCGCTGTTTGGCGCTGGCGTTCAAGCTTGGCTGGGACTGCCGAGGTGCGGTCGCCGCGGTTCTGATGTGTGCCGAGAAGGTGGGGCGGAGGCATGAACCGAGCCACTAAGCTTTAGCAGGCGGGGGGCGGCAGGCAGGCTGATGGGCTAAGGGAGAGGCAGCGTGTGAGACGGGGTGACGGCAGGGACCAGCCCGGGCGGGGACCGGGACTGGGGGGGATCCCTGAGCAGCCGGCTGGCCCGGCTGGAGGGACGAGGTGAAGGTTGCGGTTCCATCTCAAAGATCTGAGCAGTCAAGGCCATCCTGCGTGGAAGAGGACAGGTGGAAGTGTCCGGAAGTGTGAGAAACCCGCAGCAGGCGTGGGTCCCAGGAAACGGAAGAGTCAAAGGAAAAAGGGAGGTTTGTGTAAGTAGCTGACAGGGCCGAGTGACCCGGAAAGAAGGTCGGTGGAAGTGAAACGAGTGAAGTGTGGCCGGAGAGAAGAAGGTCTGTGTAAGTGGATAGAGGATCGAAGGAAAGCGGTGGAAGTGGCCGGGGCCTGGGGCCGAAAGGCAGCGGAGCCGAGCTCAAGCCTGAAGGTGTTTGGAAGTTGGAAGACTTGGTGGCAAACGAAAGTCAGGACCCGGAGTCGGCCTCGGCGAGTGGGAGACGTGTTCGGGATGTGGGATCAGAGATTGGTCAGATTGGCCCTGCTGCAGCAGCTTCGGGCTGTCTATGGCATTAAAGTCAAGGGTGGCCGCGGGCAGTGTGATCGCAGGAGACACGAAACAGCAGCTACGGAAATAAGGGTAAGTTAAAACGTGTAGGGGCAGGGACACACCTCGTTTTTTCTAGATAAGAAAGACACGTGGTTAGAAGTGTCAAATTCAATCTGTGTGGTCGTTTGTCTATGTTTAAGGATTTTTTTTTCCCCCAGAAACTTTTCAGCATTGAAAATTGCATTATTTTCTCGCTGTAGCACTGTTTTGGACAAGAACGCTGCTAGATGCCAGTAGCCTCTCTCCGTTGTGACGATCAAACGCGCCTCCTTATAATGCCGGTTTATTTTTGCAATGCTAGGAATGGGATCCTGGGTCTCCAACTTAAACGCTGTAACTTAACTGATCTGATAATCTATTGTGTTTTAAATAAGCAGTATGTGGGTGGGGAGGGAAACAAACGACTTTCTGCGGGACTGGGTCGGAAAGTCAGTGCATTTCAAAACGAATCAGATGAGAAACTCAGCCTAAGCGTTAGAAATAGGCTTCATGTGATCTTTCTATATTCAGCAGCTTAAGAAAAGAGGCCTGCTGCCTGACCATATCACACTTCCTGGTCTCTTTAGCAGTATAAACATTAGCTGCCAACATCAGCCCTAGACTGAAACAAACCTGGTTTTTATGGTTTTTTTTAATAAGCAAAATGAGAATAGAGTGAGTTGAAGGTTTGTGTGTTTAATGATTTGTCACTGAGTGCATATTTCTAAAGCTTCAAAATCCCTCCCTCCAATTACTTTTGTGTGTGCACAGGCTCACTCATGCCACGAGCATGCATCTGGGGGTCAGAGGACAACTTGCATGAAATAGTTTTCTCCTTCCGTTATGTGTGCCTTAGGGATCAAACTCAGGTTGTTAGGCCCGGCAGCAAATGCTCTGCCCATCTAACCATCTCACTGGCCCATTTTTAAAAAAAAAAAAAATTATTGGTGGGAATTTGGAGTGAGATTTTACTCTTTATTGAGTAATCAAGACTTTCATTGTGAAGAACTGATAAGAAGTCATTTTAAAAGTATGTGGGTGGCCGGGCGGTGGTGGTGCACGCCTTTAAGCCCAGCACTCGGGAGACAGAGGCAGACGGATCTCTGTGACGAACGTTCGAGGCCAGCCTGGTCTACAGAGCAAGATCCAGGAAAGGAGCAAAGCTACACAGAGAAACCCTGTCTGGGGAAAAAAAAAGTATTTGGGTAATTTATTAGTACTTTGTAGTATTTGAAGACAAAAAAACTAATAAAATTAATTTGCATAATTTTGTTGTTTGTTAAGCAGTAGCCCAGGCTGACCTTGAACTCACTAGCTAAAGCTGCCTTCACCTCCGTAGTGTTGGGATTAGAGAGCTATGTCACCACACCCATGTAATGTTTGTTTATGGTTAAAAATTACAGTGGTTACTTGGGTTAGTAAAACTGTCTTTCCACAATCCTCAGTATAGGTATTTGCTTTTTTTCCTTCATTCCTTAACCGACAAATCCTGACATTTGCCTTTAGAGACAGGCCAGAGTTTTGACTCGTGCTTTACAGTTAACTGTGAATGTGGGCTGCTTGTTGGTTCTCACTAAACTTCAGTACCTTATTCTATAAAGTGGTAATTCCTGGTAAGTTCTGTAGGTAGGTCTAACACAGTACCTGCCACTTGCCACCTATTCAACTATGAAAATTATCCACGTCCTAATTAACTGTTACGTAGTATAAATTCAGCTATGAATGCTAGTAACTTATTTTAATGAGTTACAATTCTTTCTGTAACACGATGTCAGGATTCAGATTCAGACATAAGAGACAGAGAATGTTATAATGATTCGATTAAGGTTGCACAGCTAAACAATGGAAAAGCCAGGGTTTGAAAAGTGGCAGTCTTGCCATTGGGAACCTGATTTCTAATTGTTCTTGACTGGGTGGTCTTTTTTTGCTTGGAATATTTGTCAGAACAAGCCAAGTGATAGAAACAGGACTAGTAAAGTTTCATTATTGCATTGAATCATGAATAGTGCCTACTGATCTCAGTCAGAAGTACTTGAAGAGCAGTTACAGAGAGCAGGTACGTTTGAACTAAATCAGCATGAGGTTGGGTACACTGATTTAATTTTGAGTCTGCAGATGTATACAGCTTGACTTTCAATCCAGTGGAAAGCCACAGTCTTCATGCTCTGTGGCATGTTTTTAGGAAGTTTACGATCATGTAGGAAGATAGTGGCAAAACCACCCAAAACACAAGTGGGATCCTCGGTGTTTTAAACTGAATGTGTATTCTTTAAAGTGAGTCTCAAAGTAGCTGAATGAAAATTGTCTTAAATGTTCACAGTCTTGGCCTTGTGTACCTCAGGACACAGTTGAAAAGCACTCCGCTGTACAGCATGGGAAAGTTGTAAGGTCTAAAAATACCCACATCTGATGCATTCTAGGAAGGACTCAAATGTGACAGGAGTTCAGTTCATGTTTTACTTACCAACTGACTTAGTCTTTTGTGTGAATTAGTAGGACAACTGGAGAAATGTATAAATAAGGTCGTTGAAGAAATGTAGAGCATGGGGAGGTGTTAATATTTGGACTAAATTTGGTCTAAGAATTAAGCACTGATTGTATCAGTTTCCCTTAATGAGGTCAAAGACTGGCTGTATGAACAAGATTATTTGAAGGCAGTGGTTTTATCTTGGTGTCTTTGTACGCAAAACAACATCTAGCTTCATGTCTTGTAGGAGATACTTGCTAGTAAATATACTTCAAATAATTGTTTTGTATTGATTCATAGCTTGGAGTTCATTTCTGATAATGTTTTTCTTCCTAAGATCTTTATTTGCCTAATGTTAAAGATTTTATTTTATGCCTAATACTGTGTTGAGTAACTGAGTTTGTCATTTTAGGGTAAGATATTTGGAGTTCCTTTTAATTCATTGCCTCATTCAGTTGTTCCAGAATATGGACACATTCCAAGGTAAGCAGTCTTCAAAATGAAGAGAATATTCCAAACAGGTTTTAAAAATAGTGTTAAAGGTTTCAAAAATAGTTGATTGGTGCATACATTTACTTAAAACCACATTATTTCATTTCTGAACATTACCTATTATCAAAAACAAAAACATCGGGCTAATAAGATGACTTAGTGGGTAAAGGCGCTTGCAGCATAAGCCTGGTGCCAACCCCATGTATAAAGGTAGAAGGCGAGAACCCAGCTTCACAGAGTTGTCCCCTGCCTCCACCATGGGTGCTGCGGCCCGCTCACTCACACATACACATCATACACTTGCTGCTCTAACAGTTTAGAGTCTTAGATCCAGGAGTAATGACTGCAAGTTTGTTGTAATCTCTGGACTGCTGTAAGTAAACAAAAACAGCTGACTGCCTTTCACCATCCTCTAGGACTGACGTTCGGGCACTCAGTGTCAGTACAGCTCTGTCACTGCTTGTAGCTGGCATACTTCCTAATTTTTTGGTGCCAGCTGTTGAATCTAATGTTAACATTGTTGAGATCAGTTTAGAGGTAAAATTGAACCTTCACCCCTTAACATGAGAATGAGTATAAGGACAGAGAAGGATTCTACTTTTCCAAGAAAAAAATGTTAGAATGAGGAAAACTTGGTGTTGTTTGGGGGGAAATATAGGCCGATGGCTATGTAAAGCTATGCGTACTGTACCAGGTCACCACCCATGGAGAGACCATGGATAGAGAAGGCCTTGGGCCAGGCAGGCATGGTGGTGAATACTTGCAATCCCAACACTTGGCAGATGGAGACTGACAGTCACCCTGGCTACACAGCAAGTGTGAGGCCAGTCTAGGCTACACAGAACTTTGTCTTCAAAAAAGACTTAGAACAAAGCCCAGGTCCTTCCACATGGAGACACTAAGTAGAAGAGGAGGAACTTAAAAGGAGCTTGAGAAAGAACAGTTTAGGGAGATAGCAAAAGAACTAGAGGAACGGTGAAAAGGACATTTTTGAGCAGGGGAGCGGTCAGATGTGTCACGTGTCGATGAGTTAAGCATTACGAGGGGACAATGGATTGACAGTTGATTTGGTGAGACAAAGGACATCGGTGTCCATGGTGGAGCTGTTTGACAGGAGTAGCGTGGGTGAATGTGTCCAGTCGAAGGTTAGGTAGAGGTGGGGATGTGATAAACAAGGCAAGTCTTGTGTTATGAAGAGAGGCAGAAAAGAATATGGACTTGATAGGACACATTTGTGTTAAACAGAGAAAGCCCGAAGTGTGTGAACTCCTAATGAGTGTGCTGTTCACATGGGCACAGTCAAGTCAAGGACCCCATGGAGGAATGGAAAACCTTCCTACAGGCTGAGGCTCAGAGGGAAATGGCAAAGCCTTCTTTGGAGGACTGAGGACAGGTGTTCACAGTGTGTTGAGAAAATGTCCACTATAGCCCTCCACCCCACCTGGAATGAAAACTGATGTTCTTCAAAAACTGCTCCTCTGGAGAGTAGCTAAACTTGTCTCCTTGATTCAGCTGTATACTGTAAATCCTGCCTTTTTGTTTATCTGTGTGTAATAACCCTGCCTGCTTGTTCAGCAGTATGCAATAACCTAACCTCCCTGTTCGAGTCTATATAATAAACACACTGAGCATGAGGAGGGGGCTAGTCCACCTGACCCCAGCTCTTTGTGTCTGTCTTTTCTTCATTCTTTTGCCACCCTTTGTCAGTTCTTCCCCTGGAGCCTTGCTAGTGTGGCGCACATTGATGCTGCCCTGAGTAAAGCTATAGACCTTAGAGAAACAGTTAGGAAGCCAGGAGAACAAGTAAATATTTTGTTACAAGGATCGAGTGGATTTTTGACATTGGAACAGGCTGCTATGTATTTGGCAGTAGAATGAGGTTATTGAGGTGTGTATCTGGACCCTTGAAAGAACATGACTTCTCTTTCAGCTTTCTTGTTGATGCATGTACATCTTTGGAAGAGCATATTCATACAGAAGGGCTTTTTAGGAAGTCAGGATCTGTTATCCGTCTAAAGGCACTAAAGGTAAGCATCGTTTTTACTTTTTTACTAGTATTGTTCCTGATTTGATTTTTACAGTTGAATTATTTTCCTAAAAGCAATTGTAAGTTATTTACATACTGCTTTAAAAATACAGCATGCTTTCAAATTTGTGCTCTTCATTTTTGTACTATATGAAAAGAAAACGTAGCTTTATTATTTTTAGCCTTTTAGAAAGAACTACTATTTTAAACAAGGTTTGGGAGAACCTTTTTAATTAGATATGATAACCATTACTGTATTTAATATACTTACGCTTCTAGAGTGCTCAAGATTCCTGTGTCTTTTCAGAGTAAACTGGACCATGGTGAAGCCTGCCTGTCTTCTGCACTTCCGTGTGATGTTGCAGGTCTGCTTAAGCAGTTCTTCAGGGAACTGCCAGAGCCTGTCCTCCCTGCTGATCTGCACGAAGCTCTGTTCAAAGCACAACAGTTAGGAGCAGAGGAGAAGAATCAAGCTACATTGTTGCTGTCCTGTCTGGTGGCCAATCCTACAGCTGATATATTAAGATACTTCTTTAACTTTCTCAAGAATGTTTCTCTTAGGTAAGTGGTAATTAATTAAAAGCCTTGAGAAGGAGCTACCTAAGATGTCCAGCTACCTAAAGGTGTTCCTAGTAGTTAATAAATTTAATTTGGAGTGAAAACAATTTAATGAGTCTTTACTATAGGAAATATACCCTGTGTAATTTAAGAAATAGTATAACAACTGATTTAATACTTTACATCATTAGATTCTTGATTAGGGATGCCTTAAGGGCTTATTGGTATTTACAAGATTCAGTGTCCACTGGATGGATTTTGGTTGCTGTGCTTTTAAAGCCTTTGAATTGTGTTTCTTAATTTTCCTCTTCCTGCTGTCAGTGAACCTACTTGTTTTGTTTATAATTGATACTGCCTTCTATGCTTCATTTTCTATGTGTGGCTCTAAAAAGCAGGTAAACAAACATAATCTGTGTAAAAGGACGAAGTGTGACCTGATTAGTGTGGTATATTTAAACCTATGAGACCATGTATTTTGGGTTCTTATGTTCTTTCGTTTTGTGGTGCTAAGGTTGGAACTCAGGCTTTCTGCCTAGTAGACACTCTATGGATAAGCCATACTTAGTGCTCTTCCGCCTTTCCTTTGTCCTTCCTTCTGCAGACCCCTTATGTGGGTGATAGATGAGGGCTGTTTTACATACAGGTGACAGCTAAAGTAAATGTACTCAATACGTTATTTTAACTTTCTGTAGTTCTACCTTTTTGCCATTTAATAAAACCTTTTTCATCAGGGCGAGTGAGAATAAAATGGATAGCAGCAATCTTGCAGTAATATTTGCACCGAACCTTCTTCAGACAAGTGAAGGCCATGAGAAGATGTCTGCTAACACAGAGAAAAAGCTACGATTGCAGGCAGCAGTAGTACAGACTCTTATTGATTGTGCATCGGATATTGGTAAGAGGTAGTTGCATTGTCACATAGTAGGATTTATTTAAATGAGGGAGATCCTGGCTTCCAGCTGAAGACAGCTGTTAGAAAGGGATTGCATTATTACCTATACTTTGGGATGGGGAAGGGAGGAAGGAAGGAATAATTGTCTTATGAACATTTCCATTTAGGACGTGTGCCAGATTTTATTCTGGAAAAGATACCAGCCATGTTAGGTATTGATGGTCTCTGTACTACTCCATCCCTGGAAGGCTTTGAAGAAGGAGAATATGAAACTCCTGGTGAATGTAAGAGAAAAAGAAGACAGAGTGTTGGAGGTAATAGATGGTCTCATTTTAGGGTAGTACCCAGATTGTATCTCAAATGCAAATGTCAATATTAGCTGTGGTATGTGTCTTTTGGATGCCTAGTTGGAGAAATGAAACATAGGCATATTAGAAGTTCAAATGATAATACAATCTAAAAGTAAGTGCTTAAATCTTTAACAGACAATTCCTTGGACTCTAAGCACCAGGGACTTGTCAAAGAGGAAGTCAAACTAAGCCTTATTTATTTATTGTGCTGGGAATTGAAACTAGGGCTTCATACAGGCTAGGTAAGCACTGAGCCTCTGAACTGTATCCTCAGCCCTCAACCTGGGTCTACTTGAAGGATGGATAGAATACAGAGAAATTGAGTGACAGAGCAGAAAACTTACATTCTGTACTAGTTGAGAAATGTAGAACAGACACAAGTCTATCCTAGGAGCAGATCAGTGTGCTTTGAGTGATGTGTTCTCTGTGTGCATTTGATGGTATAATGTGGAACTAGAGGCCAGGCCAAGGACAGACTGATACCTGGGTACTGGCTAAATGTTGGAGGGTTATAATTTGAGGTTGACATTATTGAAGTATGTTGTAAATTTATCTGATTTGAAGAACTGCCACCTGGAGGTAGAGAGAATGGTAAGAGGTGTGGCAACAATACAGGTGCCAGATCTTTGAAGAGCTTAGTTGTGAATGAGGAGTGGAGTCAGTAGTGAAGGAAATGCTACTGAAGAAGACTCAAAATGAACCAAAGTTCTGTCATGGTGATAGTAGTTCCTGGCTCCTCTGGGTCAGGAAGGGCGAGGCCATCCCTTTTCCTTGGGAGACTTCCCCCAGTGTGTTGTGCACACATGCATGGGTAATTATGGGGACATCAGGACAACCTTGGAAGTCAGTCCTGCTTTCTCCCTGTTTTGAAACAGGCTCTCCTGTTTGCCGCTGTGCACTCTAGGTTAGCTGTGCTGTCCCACGAGCCTCCAGGGACTCTGCTATCTGTGCTTCCCAGTCTCCCCAAAGGAGTACTGAGACTATAGATACTATATACGACCATACTAGTTTTAACAGGGGCTCTGGGGATTTGAACTTAGGTCCTCACACTTACACAGTAAGCACTTTATCTACTGAGCCATTTCCTCACCCGATTTCTTTCCTTTTGGAGTATCATTGCTTTTGGAATCTTTTGGCTTAATTATTGCTTTCTTATATTCTTTCTTTGCTACTTTTGTAGGTTCCTTTTATTACTTCTCTTTTATTTTCATGGGACTGCTGTGTCTCAGCAGGACACAATTTCAAAGGACACAAATTGGATGGCTTAGAAATCACAGTTCTAGAGGCCAGTCTATAGTGTCAGCTGTGCTCTGAAATCTGTAGGGTAGATTGCTTTCTTTCCTCTTCTTGGCTTCTAGAACACAATTCTACCTATAAAACTTCCTGGCACAAATGTAAATATTTCTTAGACATGGGTCATCTTTATTATTGGTATAAGGCAGATTATATTACATTTTAATTGCTTATGTAACTGTAGATACCTTGCATTTCAGATTTTGTTAATGGAGCACTAAATAGACTTAAATCTAGCAGAACACCTTCTGTTACACCTCAACAAGATAGAATTGGTAGGTGTTTGTTATATATAAACATTTAAATAAAAATGTCTTTAGTGCTGTGTAAAAACAATTATAATAATTGCTTAATTTAATTATCAAATCTCAGTACTAATTTCCTTAAAAGTATTGTACTGTGTATATTGTTGTATTACTAGTTACATTGACTGTGATGAATTCAAAATTGTAAGAAGGTTAGAATTTCTTTATCTGTTTTCATTTTTAAATAATCTTTTTTTTTTGGTTTTGGTTTTTCGAGACAAGGTTTCTCTGTGTAGCTTTGTGCCTTTCCTGGAACTCGCTTTGGAGACCAGGCTGGCCTCGAACTCACAGAGATCCGCCTGCCTCTGCCTCCTGAGTGCTGGGATTAAAGGCGTGCACTACCACCGCCTGGCCTCATTTTTAAATAATCTTAATCATGATTTTTCAATTGCTTATGATTTAGAGCATTTGAAAACGGCTCAACTTCACTTTGTATCAGAATAAGAAAGTTGTTCATTCTGTATTCTAATGTTTATACTGGTTTGCTTGCTGGCAAATGTATTTGGCCAACACAGACAGCATGATGTTTTGTTTTTTAGTGAAATGAATTGGTGAACACTCACTTATGAGAAGCAAATAGCAGTTAGTTTTGTCTTTTTATCTTGAATGTAGTTTTCTTCCCTGTATTGATGTTCTTTCATCTGTATTATATATGTCCATTGCTCTATTTACTTTAAGTTACTTCTGCTTTTTAAGAACCTTGCTGAACTCAGTATGGTTGCTTTGGTCCTTAGCCCTAGTACTTGGGAGAACATGGCAGAAGAATCTCATGCCCAAGTCCTATCTGGGTACATAGTAAGGAAACCCCATCTCAAACAATTAAAAAAAAAAATCTTGCCTCTTTGTAACTTTGCTATTTTTATTTTAAATAATTGCAGAATATTAATTAATATTGGATCATGGAAATGTATCTCTCACATTCTTTTGTTAACCTCTAAATAATAGTGCTTATAAGAAATTAAAGCTCTTGTCTGTTACCATCTGTATGGAGAAACAAGTCATTTCTGTGTGGTTTTCAGCCCAGGCCTCTGTATCACCATTGATTCTCACACCAAGTGTTAAGCGAAAACTGCCAGGAGAGTCTTCTCATGCCTTCTCAAGTAAGAAAAGGAAGTCCATCAAACACAACTTGAACTTTGAGCTGTTGCCAAGTCATCTTTTCAGCAGCAATTCTACACCAGTATCAGGTAGCAAAGAGAATCTTTATCATTGGGTTGTAAACATTAACATGAGGGCCTGTTCTCAACAAATAACTACTTAGATTAATACCACACACAAGAGCCAAAAGTGACATTTTTCCAAATTTCTGTATTTTATAAGATCTCCTATTCTTTTTTTTTTTTTTTTTTTTTTTGGTTTTTCGAGACAGGGTTTCTCTGTGTAGCTTTGCGCCTTTCCTGGATCTCGCGCTGTAGACCAGGCTGGCCTCGAACTCACAGAGATCCGCCTGCCTCTGCCTCCCGAGTGCTGGGATTAAAGGCGTGCGCCACCACCGCCCGGCTTAAGATCTCCTATTCTTAAAAAACAAAACACACAAAAAAACCCCACCAATTTAATAAAAATAAAGTGTTTATGTTTTATGGGCAAGTCCAGTGAAGTTATGGTAAATAACCAAGCATTTGGGCTTCTATGGATGGCATGGGTACTCAGGTTTTATGTGACTGGACGTGCTAGGTCCTGTTTTCTCAGGATCCATATGTAGGGCTCTATTGTCATCTTCAGATAGCTAAAGTCCGAAGTTTCCCGGAGTCTATAATGTTATTCAAGTAGGTTTACAAAAGCCTTAAAACTTGGGGCAAGGCAATCAGCATATAATTTCAGAAGTTTGTTGTTTCTCTTCATTTCAGTGACATTCAGAATTCTATTAGCTATTGAATATATGTTTTTATTGCCAGAGTCTTAGACTTAGTTTATTCTTATAGCACACACAGAATATAAATTGACTTATGTTAACTTTATCATCAACCAAAAGTGAAATGAAACAAAACCTAGGGATGAAACCCAAAACCTAGGGGTTCCCTATCTCAATTTGTCACATTAAAACAGAATCTGAGTCTATAGATTTTAATAATTGTTTGCTTCAGGCACTATTGAGTATTTCATTTTGAGCACAAGAGCTGACTGATGAGTTCTTCCCCAAAGACTTTCGGTTTAGTTTCTTTTGAGGGTTCATACTTTGCTTAAATTGAAGAGTAGCAAGTTGTGGTTTTTCCAGAAGGAAAACCCTCACAAGTTAGCTGTGCAGGGCTTATTACAGTAGAACGACAGGAAGGCTCATGACTCCATCTGTGGCGCCTTCAGTGACCAGAGGCTGGAGACTTAAACTCCTAAAGAAACTTCATACTGTGTGATGTTTACAGTCCTGTCCAGATCGGAAGGCTTCTTAGTCCAGTGGCCATTGGGAATTGGAGTCTTCTGTTAGCTGCTCCCCAAAGTGGAAATGTTCTTGTGTTTTTCTGAACTGAGTTTGAGTTTGAATCACCAGTGAATTTTCATTATGAAACTTCAGCAGTGATTCTATTGCTGTTAGCTCTCCATCGTTCTTTGGTCTGCTTGCTTAGTCACCAATCAATAAAATATATCTGTAAGTAAGAAAGGAGGTTGGTTTCTACATTTGAGATTAAAAAGACCCTCTTTTTTCCCCTCAGTGTATAAAGACATTAATCTACAGTTCATGTGCTACTAATACTATTTATAATTTTGTGTCTAATTCCATTTACATTATTCTGCCTACTCTAACTGCTGCTTGTAACCACATATGTTTTCAAGATGACTAAATCACATTGGATGTGTTATATTGACCCCTAAAATGTTCTTGACCTAATGCATGCAGAAGTCTCCAAGATCATTCTTTATTTTTGTGACTAAACAAACCCATGAGGACTTCTTTGGACACTTTGTGGGGTTTTTGTCAATAATGAATTGACAGTTTGTATTTGTTGGAAGTTTACTGCATATAATTAGGACATAAGTCAAATGTATATGTACCTCTGTAACCTCCATAATTTTTTTTATATAACAGATTGCATGGTATAATAAAGAAATTGAACATTGTTGTAAACACAAATTACTTGTCTAGAACCTGGCAAGGATGAATGGGTTAGGCAGTTTTTGTTTGGTTGACAAAAATTATTGGCAAATTATACTTGTCTGATAGATGTTTGACTAGCAATTGTATCCTGAATGCTCACATTCAAAATTTGTCAATAGTTTAATTTTTTTAAGTTTTTTATTAGCATATATTATGCATAATGGGTTTTACTATGACATTTTCATTCATATATATCCCTCCTTACTTCTAGTAATTCCTGACAGTAATATTTATGTTCATCAAGGAGCTGTATTTCTAGAGTCTGAAGCCATTTAGTAAGTGATAGGCAATTTCTACTGTCTCCACAGCTTGCTCTTCAAAGTTTGGCAAGATATATTCCTCTCTTATTACTGTTTAAAGCAGATTAGTAATGTAACCTTTAATTGGCAACTGTTAAATAGGAGATTAATAGTTTCCTTTTTGATCAGTTATTGACACCCGAAACCTCTAACTAGAAATTGTGTTTCTTGTTGCAGCTTGGATGTAGAAATTAAACTTAAACCTACTTGCTGCAACTTTATACTTTGAAAAGTAAATGTGTGTGACGCATTACCTGCCCTTCTTTTTATAGTTCACTTTGATACGAGCCCGGATGGGTCATCGCAGAGTTCACTCTCTCCTATCGCCATGAGTGGAAACCACTTGATTGGTACAGACCTAAGGCGAAGTAAAAGAATTGCAAGCAAAAAGGTTTACAGGTAATCTGTCCAAGACGTGTCTTCTCACTGGGTGAGCGGTGGTGTGTGCTGTCATTCTACCAAAAGTTATTGTTTAATCATAGTTTTCAATCCCTTCAGTCTATACGTTCTTATTCATTATAGGCCCTTCGTATACCATCACAAAGGAAGCAAAAAAATACTAAATTGAATTTACTGTCCTGGTCTATGTTGATTGTATAATTTTACGTTTTGTTAGTTTTTGCAAGTAGTCTGTTCTAATGATCCTGGTTTATAAGTGACTAAGGATGATAAATCATTTTCATATACAGATATGCATTTATATGTAATATGTTAAAATTTCAGTCATTTTAAAAATTATTTAGTTATTAACAATATGATTTCTTTTGACTTAGTAGATTTTTATCTTGCAAGAATTTCTGATATTTATGCCACAAACTGATGTTTTAAATTGTACTCTTTAGGGTGGAGTCAGGAAAAGCAGGTTGCTTCTCTCCTAAAGTCAGTCGGAAAGAAAAGGTCCGAAGATCTCTTCGCCTGAAATTTAGCCTGGGGAAAAACAGAGACTCAGTAAGTGTCTTGTCCTGCGACAGAATACCCAACAAGCTACACAAAGGAGCAATCCCTTTGGTCGGTGTTTTTAGAAGTGTCAGCTCATCCTGGTGGGGAGAATGTGGCAAGTAGAGCCCTTCCCGTCATGGCAGCTGGGAAACAGACAAAAGGAATGCAGAAAGGGGCTGGGGTGAGGGTGGGGTACCATCCAGATCTAAGCATGCATCCTTCCCTCCAGCTCCCATCTTTTACCACTTCCCAGTAATGCTGTCAGATTATGAATCATTAATGGATTCATTCATTCATTGGGCCAGAACCCTCTTTTAATAATCTCTGGAAATGCCATCATAGATAACTGCAGAGGTGTGCCTATCTATTGTTATAGGCATTTCTTATTCACACTCACTATTAAGAACATTGTAGTGGCTTATGGCTTTATTAATCTGTTAGCATAACACATCATAGTAACATAAAATTGTAGACTGAAAACACTCTCTCACGCTTGCCTTCCTAATGAACCATGCACTACTGCTCTCTATCAACATTTCATCTCAGGACTCTTTAGAGCTGCTCCCATCAAGGGGTGGGGTGCACTCCTTGAACCTCATCTTAGTTAGACATCCACATTAAGTTCTCTGGATCACAGTACTCTCCAAAGCAAACTGATAGATGTCTTTGCTTGCAGGGTTTTTTGTTGTTTGATTTGGTTTAGATTTGGGGAGTGTTTGTCTTTTATTGTGCTAAACATGTATTGTGGCGCTGAACTCTGGTTTCTGCTTATTCCTTCTTGGATGTCTGTTTAGACAAAACCTATTGTCCACACCGTCCTTGCTGCAGCTGTCCCTACAACCAAGCCCTCTTCTCCCTGCTGTGCCCATTTCAGTTGTGCAGCATGCTCTTCCAACAGCTTGGGCTAGACTGTACACATTCTTGCTTCCTCCCTCACATCTCATGGGCCACATCTTGTCTGTTTGAGAAGCCTGCTTAATTTCTGCTCTTAGTTACATCCAAATTGTCTTTTCTCCTAGATAACTGCAGTTAATCGACTAGCGGGTCTGCCTGCTTCTATACTTTCTGCGATAGCTTCCCTCAAAAAACAGTCTTCTAAAAAACCAAGTTGTCATATTGCTCTGTTCTGAACCCTCCAGTGATATTTTTATTCTGACTGAAACCCCAGCCTCCTACATTAACCTGCATGCTCCATACGATCTGTTCCCAGAGCATATCTCTGAGCTCTGCTCCTGGCACTCCGCCTCCTCACTCTGCTTCCTTCCTGACCCTCTCCAGCTGTAGAGGCCACACTGCTAACTTCTCCCTAAAATGCGGTTGCACACAAGTCTTCTGTTCTTGCCCTTTATCTTCTCATCACCCTGTGTGAAATTATTCTCCCACCATCACCAGCCATGTCCTCCTTACTATTTTACTGTTCTCCACATCACTTTGACCCTGTACTATATTGATGTGATCTAATGTACTGTTTCCATCTACATCCCACCATCGAATGTAAATACTATGAGGGCAAAATTTTTACCACCCCGCCCCCACAGACATATAATTTGTAAACAGGCACAGGAATAAAATACGAGAATTTATTCTTTAATAATACTGAATATGTTATGCTGTTTTTATTTTACTTTAAAGAATATCACCTAAGTTTATCATTTCACCAGCAGACAAGAATATTTGTTTTTCTTACAAAGTTATCCTTCAATTATATAATCCTTTTTAAGTTGCTGATTTTAACACTTAATTGGTTTTAATTTTTTAATTAACTGGATTTGCTTAACTAAACCATTTTCAAATTTTCTTTTCTGTACAGAATGGATGTTCTGTCATCAATAGATATGAAAATGTTGGTCGACGACTAGCAAATCAACAGAGTCTAAAAAATAGGATTGAATCTGTAAAAACAGGCCTGCTTTTTAGCCCAGATATTGATGAAAGATTGCTAAAGAAAGGTACATTTACACAATACTGTAGAATTTTACTCAAAATTTTAGTTTCAGTTTCTTTAAGATAAAATATATTATTTTGTGCTCCAGAAGTTTAAAGTTCTCATTTGAATGGTGAAAATATTTGACTTGGCAGTATAGTTTTCTGTCAACAATTGGAGGATGCTTGTAAATGTCCACACTGGACATGTCTATCTTCAGTGTTTTGGAAATAATGCTCAATACCTTCACTTATCATATGTTTGGATTATATTTAAACTAGTTAAGACATGAAGTATTCAAAGCATCAACTGGTTTATTCTAGATGCCGAAAAGATGAGGAAATCTGAGGAACACTTACTAACTCCAGATGGACTAGATGGAACAGGTTCCAGGATGTCTTGGACAGAACCCAGCAATTCAAGTTTTCAAGACATGGGTGCAGGCGGAGCTTCTCCAGTAATGAGCAATCTTGAGGTGAAGAGCTTTTCTTTGGAGCCCAACAATACTGTTGACAACTCACCAGTTGTGTCCTGTGAACTCAGACCTTCCACCTTGCACAGTCAACCTGACAGCAGTGTGCTGGGGAGTTCCCTTAGTGGAGATGAAAGTAACCTGACCTCCGAGACCTTGCTAAAGATTCAGAAAGCGTTTTCCGAGTCTGGGAGTGATCTTCATACACTGATACATCGTGGGCAGTCCTCAGTCACAACCACAGGGGAAGAAAGTGAGGCCAGCGATGGGCCTGTGAGAGAACCAAGGGGAGATGATGGGGACTGCATTGGGGAAGATAGTGGGCCTGTGAGAGAACCAAGGGGAGATGACGGGGACTGCATTGGGGAAGATAGTGGGCCTGTGAGAGAACCAAAGGGAGATGATGGGGACTGCATTGGGGAAGATAGGGACTGTGTTCCAGAAAGAGATTTCTCAGCGTGTCCAAGTCCAACATTGGGCAGAGAAGCAAGCGTAGAATCTTATTCAACTCAGATGAAGGGGGAACATGAAGAAAACATCCAGTCAGAAGTGCCAGAAGCTGACTTGATCCTGCAAGAATTCCCCAGTGAGGAGCAAACGAAGGGACCACAGCCCCCAAGGAACCAACTAAATGCTCAGTCAGCGGGGAATGAGACTGTGGTGGAGGAGAGCTCCATGGCGTGTGAAGCCGCTGGGGAAGATGAAGCTCACTCTTCTTCAGAGCAGAGTGCATGCAGTGTGCTAGTCCCTTCAAAACCTCAGCCCCAGAGACTGGCTAAGCATCGGTCACCAGTGGGAAAATGCGATAATGCGGTTCCTGGAGGTTTACAAATGACGGAGCATGGCAAGGTTTCTGATCACATACAGTGGTTTAATAAACTTTCTCTAAATGAAGCAAACAGCACAAAAGTGAAGTCACCTCTGAAATTTCAGCGTACTCCTGTCCGTCAGTCTGTCAGAAGAATTAATTCTTTGTTGGAGTATGGCAGGCAGCCTGTGAGGCAGAAGTTGGCATTCTTTGGTGATGCAGCTTCTCCTCTGGTAAAGTCAGTGAGCTGTGATGGTGCTCTTCCCTCATGTGTAGAAAGTACATCGAAAGATTCCTCTGTTTCATGTACTAAATTAGGTCCCGAAGCACAGAAGTCTACGTCGTGTGATAAGTCAAATGATGCAATTTCAAAATCAAGCGTTGAATTAACTTCTAAATCTTTCTCAAAAGTTAAGAGACATCCAGATCCTGTGCATGCTTCTCTTGGAACTACTAGACTTTGTAAACAGGAGAGCAAATCTGATGGCCAAATTAAGTTTCCCTTGGATGATCTCACTAATCATGATAGATTAAAATTTGCTGTAAATAATAATACAGCCTTTCCTCCCGGAATGAAAAACAGAGTTCTTAGGAAACCATCAGAAAAAGAAAGGGTCTGGTACAAGGGTTCTCCCAAAAATCCTATTGGAAAGACTCAACTCCTACCAACAAGTAAGCCTGTAGACTTGTAACTGACAGATGTCATACTTGTCATCAGTGTTTATAAAGTTAGCAGTTGGTGGGATGGTTTGCAGGGTCATCGTGCGCTAGTGTGTAGCTAAGGATGCTTGTTAAGCAGCTTCTCTCTGAAGCAGCCTCACTGCTGGCTGGAACAATTTGGATTTTCATACTTGCACATAGAGCTGTTTTGTTTTTATTACTGAAGCATTTAAACTTCATTGTGATTTCTCGAAGCAAAGGTTATAATTAACTTTAAAAATCCTGTTGGCTAGATTTATTTAAAAGAGGGGCAGGTTTTTGGTTTGCATGCCTGATAGGAAGTTGTGCTTGGTTTTGGTCATTCCTCCAAGTCCATTACAAATCTCCCACGTTAAGGGAATGGGTAGCCCTGCCAATCTTATGTCTTGAGTTATATTCATGTCTGTTGTCTTGACCTAACTCCTCAGAGGTCTGCTAGTACTTATTCCTGTTTGGGGCAGAGGAATATGGTCAGTGTCTCTTGTAGGTGTATACAAGGTTTCACTTGAATCTTGAATTAAGGACAGTGGTTAAATCAGAATGATAACTAAGTTGCATTCATACATTATGGTGTTGAAGTAATTGATTAATTTTAAGCCATACTTTATTTTTGAAGATAATTTTGATCTATTTTGTCCAATATGAAAATGAAATTTTTAAGGAGGAATAATTAAGCTTGAAATTTTTAATCAAGGTTTTTTTCCTATGAAGGTGGTTGATTTTAGAATTTGAATTGCTAATGTACCTCTGTACATTTTGCTTAGATAAATATCTGATAGTCTTATCCTCTGTTTAAATCTTATTTATTTAGTGTACACATTAAAAAATAACTGCTGGAAAACGTCTTGCCTCAGAGTGTTGTGTTTCAGGTGCAAAGCATTGCACACACTATTAGTGTGTATTTTTGTGTGAGAGGAACTTCACGTCCTTGAGTTTGCTTTGCCAGGGTCTACTTGAAGATGTGTGGCTATTTTTTAGATTTATTTTATATGTGTGAGTGTTTTGGCTGCATCTATGTATGTAAACCCATGTAAATATAACACACGTGTGCCTGTTCTCCTCTGAGATGAGAGGGGGTTGAATACCCTGGATGGTTGTGAGCCTCTGTGTAGATTTTGGAAACTGAACCTGGATCCTCTGTGTAGGGCTGAGAACCAAACGTAAGTCCTATACAAGAGCATTAAGTGCTAGAAGTGTGCTGTGGGATGGTCTGTATGTCAAATGTGTTGCTGATTAGTCAATAAATAAAACACTGATTGGCCATTGGCCAGGCAGGAAGTATAGGCGGGACAAGGAGGAGAATAAATCTGGGAAGTGGAAGGCTGAGTCAGAGAGACACTGCCAGCTGCCATGATGACGAACAGCATGTGAAGATGCCGGTAAGCCATGAGCCACGTGGCAAGGTATAGATTTATAGAAATGGATTAATTTAAGCTGTAAGAAAAGTTAGCAAGAAGCCTGCCACGGCCATACAGTTTGTAACCAATATAAGTCTCTGTGTTTACTTGGTCGGGTCTGTGTGGCTGTGGGACTGGTGGGTGAGAGAGATTTGTCCTGACTGTGGGCCAGGCAGGAAAACTCTAGCTACAGAAGTGCTCTTATAACCACAGACCATCTCTTCTGCCCCAAGATTTCTGTTTATTTCAAGGTTATTTCCTATGTTCCTTAGTAATCCTTCCCCAGAACTAGTATATGGTTTACATAAAAACTAAAGCTCTCTAGTCTTAAACTTCATATTTATCTGATCAAAACAGACTAGCCATGCATTTAGGTATAGCTGGAATAGGTTGTGGATCCTTTACCTAAAATTGGTAAGAAGAGAAATTTCTCAAATTTTTGGAATATTTTCATAGGCTTCACTGGTTGAGTATCCTTAAAACATCAAGCTCAAGTGCTTCAAAATTTGAAACAAGCAGGGCGGCGGTGGCCCACGCCTTTAATCCCAGCACTCGGGAGGCAGAGCCAGGTGGATCTCTGTGAGTTCAAGGCCAGCCTGGTGTACAGAGAGAGATCCAGGACAGGCACCAAAACTACACAGAGAAACCCTGCCTTGAAAAACAAAAACAAATTTGAAACATTTTGAACTCTCAGCATATACTAGGAATTCCTCTATGATGTTAATGTGTCTAGTGCCTGGAGTATACCTGTAAAACTAGCACTCAGGATTTGGAGATGTGGGATATGGAGCTCTTATCTCAATTTTAAAAATGAAGAAAAATTCTACAAAATCCTTGACACTTAAGATTCCAGATCATTTCCTATTTGGGAGTCGAAAAAGCTTTAAAATGTGGTTTCAGCCAGGTGGTGGTGGCGCACGACTTTAATCCCAGCACTCGGGAGGCAGAGGCAGGTGGATCTCTGTGAGTTCGAGGCCTGCCTGGCCTACAGAGTGAGTTCCAGGAAAGGCGCAAAGCTACACAGAGAAACCCTGTCTTGAAAAAAAAAAAAAATGTGGTTTCATCTTTGTATTCATTTTTTTTTTTTTTTCTCGAGACAGGGTTTCTCTGTGTAGCTTTGCGCCTTTCCTGGGACTCACTTGGTAGCCCAGGCTGGCCTCGAACTCACAGAGATCCGCCTGCCTCTGCCTCCCGAGTGCTGGGATTAAAGGCGTGCGCCACCACCGCCCGGCCTGTATTCATTTTTTTATACGAAATGAAGATTGTTATTAAATTCATGGGCTGTATGATCAAATAGTATACATTTGTGCTTTCCAAAGTTAAAAGTGATGTGTACAGTAACTTCAAGAATTATCATTTTAAGTATAAAAACCTAATATGTGTTCTTTTATAAGAAATGAGCAGATTTTAATACGCAAAGAACTAAAGTTAGGTTCCTGGGAGCAACATCTTATAGTCACTGAGAACTTAATGTATGATTTTGAGAATCATCAAGTATAGGATATATATGAGTCATGGCTTATTTTAAATATAATCTTAGTCAAGTGTACTGGTACGTGCCTGTAGTCACGGCTCCTCCGGAGGCTGAAGTAAGTAAAGATCATTTGAGACCAGCCTGGGAAAAGTCTTGTATTTGAGCTGGAATGTGAGTTGTTACCCACAGGCTCTTGCTGAGAGCTTGGTACCTAGCTGGTGGCACTGTTTTGATGTAGAACTTTGAGGAGGAAGTAGGTCCCTGGGGCTGTGTCTTTGAGCAGTACACCTTATGTGTTCTACTGTTTATCCCGACTCCATGTGCTCCCACCGTCCTGTTCTGACTCACTGTGTGTTCATAAACTAGTGGAACCCACAGTCATGTACTGAAATCTCAGCAGTTGTGTGCCAAAATAAAATTTCTTTTCTTTCTCTCACCACTTTGTCAGCAGAACGAAGGCTTACATACCCTGTCTAAATTACAGCACAGTGTGAATTATAGACATTTTTGGTATGTTTCAGGCGACTACACGGCCAGCAAGATGTGGTGACCCATTTTTCCAACCTTAGGTTGAATGTAACTGACCGATTTTGAAGAAAACTTGAGGATAAACAGTATTCATTAGTAATAAACGTTGCGTACCATCATAAGCTTTGAACCTGGAGTCAGCGGCTATTTGTCATGTTGATTGAAACAAAAAGCATCCAGGGAAGAAAAACCGCTGGGAAGGCTGCCTGGCTTGCCACAGAAAGCCCTCTCACAAATCTCCCTGCCTCTCTTCATTGCATTAAAATGCTAATGGGTTTGCTGCTCCAAGCTGCAGCAAGACGAGAGCTGAATTCTAACCTCATCATGGAACTTACTATTTCCCAGAAGTTTCCCCAAAGGACTCAGTCCTAGTTGTTGGATGGGCGGGCTTTGTGGTGTCTACTTGGTTTCTTTCAGGGCTAGGAATCTGGGCCCCATCACTGGCACCACGAAATATAATAAATTGCAGGTTTGCTTGGGCAAGTTCTGCATGTCCTGAAGTATGGTTTCTCCTGGTGAACTTTAGAAGCAATGCTTACAGCTTTCAGAACCTCCAGGTACCCTGAGGGGTTAAAGGAAAGGCAGGGTAGAGGTGGCACTGTCACCAGGACCCCTTAGGACTTGGATTTTTCCCAGTCACCACTGCCATTGCCACATTCAGGACAAATGCACGTTTTCTCTCATAGATGGGTCTCTTAAGTTTTCTATCTGTCTGTGTGAGTGTAGGTCATGAGACTGAATTGGACTATGAAAGGGAAAGCTTAAGCGAGGGAATAAGGAAAAGATACAAGAAAAGAGGCTTATGAACATGTCAGTAGGAAACCGTTTGTATGCTAATTTAAAAATCGTTCTAGAAGATGGCAAAATTAAAGGTGTACTATCTAGCGGTGGTCTACATTTAGGTAGCTGCTTGAGACTGATAAAGGCGGTAAATAACGTTTGTAGGGGTTGATGCAGAAAGGGAGCACTGGAGAAGTCTTACAGTGAAGAGACACTCAGAATGCCGGGTTGGAGTGCAGGCTCCAGGCCAGAGATGCAAGCGTCTGGAATGCCTTTCAGGAACCCTGGGAAGGCCTCTTCCACCTGCTAGGGGCGGGGCCGGGGTGGAGCTAGGATGCTGAGGGAGGTGACGCAGGAGCTATCCAGCTCGTCAGTTCCCTGCTTTGGACCAGATTGCAACAAGCTCGCCCGCGGCCCTACGGTGAGTTCCTCAGTGAAGCAGCCAGGCTAGGCAGCCGGCAGAACGCGTGAGTACTTGGGTTCATAAGGTAGGGAAAGATGCCCTCCAGAAATCCTTGAACTTGAGGCTGGGGTCAGACAAAGGATGGGTGCGGGGATTACAAGGGTTGGCTATAAATAAGGGGTGGGAGGAAGAGTTCCGAGAGCGGCGATTGGGTAGTTCTTCAGTTGGTTGGCCAGTCAAGAAAACATCCTGTATTCGGAGTTCATGGAGAAAGATGGAGATAATGGAGCCTGGTGCCTGCATCTGGCCCTTTCATCACAGCTGAAGATTATGCTGTTAAAACAGCCGTCCTCGGTTCAATGATGAGCAAGGCCAGGAAAGGCTTTTAGCTGCAAGGAAGAAAAGACATTAGCTGAAGCGAATATTTATTTCGGTTTTAGGAATGATGCTTGGCTTGTTCCCCACTGTTTCAATCCCTACCCCTGTGAATGCTCAAAAAGGTTTATCTGGCTGTTGCTTGAAGCACCCATTCAAAACAAGCAGCTTCCAGGGACGCTGTGTACATACTGTTTCCTTGCTCTGCAGGCATGTCCGTGGACAGCAACATGTAGGGCAGGTTGACAGCCCACATATCCCCGCCCCCCCAACCCCCCACCCCATTTCACTGTCTTCCCTCTCCTCCCTGCCGCCTCCGCAGATCTCAGCTTCTAGAACTGTGAACCCTGAACCGACGCTGCCAACACGGGAACAGAAGCGCAGGGCCTCACTGTGCACCTGGCATTGCTCCGTGCTCCTTTCCATGATTTTGATCTTTATCCTAACAATAACTCTGTAAGGCAGGTTGTTACTATTCTCATTCTGCAGAAGAGGAGGCGGGGGTACTTGCCCAACATCACCTAGGTGGCACACAGTGAAGCAAATGTCTTTCATGTCACCTCCCACATGGCAGGGCAGCATCTGAGCTGCACAGTTCTTCTGCTCAGGATCTTCTATTGCTTGTCGGCTGAGTTAAACACCCTTTGCCACCACTCCAGAACTTTCTCTCTCACTCGTGTGTGTGTGTGTGTGTGTGTGTGTGTGTGTGTGTGTGTGTGTGTGTGTTTAATTTTTACTGATTAAATCTCCCTAACTTCTTCTTTTAAATTGGGAAAACTCAAAATACCACCCTCCTTTTCTCAAAACAGAAAGTACTTAGATTGCAAGGAAAACAGACCACAGGTGTGAGAACCATTATTCCAGCTTAGACGTCTCAG